GTCTACCTGAAGGCCTGGAGGGGTAAACGGCAGTTACTGCCCGGAGCGGACGCAGCCCGAAGGGAGATGGGTGTAGAGAGGCATGGGGGCGGGGAGGGCAGTCATGAACGGCCTTTCGTGCCAGGAATTTGAACTTGAATGATTTATTAGGTGCATACTCTGTGCTAGGCATGGAGCTAAGTGCTTACAGGTCTTAGCCCACTTAATCCTCACGGCACCCTATGAAAGGGGCAGTATTATGATGATCATTCCCATTTTATAAATGAGAGAACATGCAAATGCAGATGGTCAGAATGGCGCAGATGCACTCCAGCCTGGGGGACAGAGAAAGACTCCATCTCAAACAAAACCAAAACAAAACAAAAAACAAAACAAAACAAAACTCAGAGTGGCTAAAACCACACAGCAATATGTTATAGATTAAAAATAAACTCACATCTAATTAGAAACGCTAAAGACTTGTAAAAGGGAAACTAATTAGACTTGATAGAAATAACCAACCCTAAAACTGACTGAAATCATAGTAGTACAAATTGTACTTTGTAAATTTTACAACTAACTAAAGTTTGATGGGAGAACAGAGTATTCTTGCCAAAATTTACATCTGGACAAAGCTGACCTAGAAAAGTTGGACTCAGAAATAAAACACAATGGAACATTCACAGTGGGAGAAGGAAGCTTGCTAAAACTTAGGTATAAAAGCTGAAAAATCACATTTTTACTACAGAGTCTGGAAAGAAGAGAGTTTACTCCAATGCAAACAATTTTAGCAAAGTACAATTACAGAAAGAATGCTGAAAAATTTAGAAACGATATGTGCTTTCTAGAGCACTGAATATGGGGTAAAATCGGCTTAGTGGGGTTTACTTAGGACTGAGAATGTCTAAGTATATAATATTTATTATTTATTCATTCCAGATAATGTTAGTATTTTCAGTAAATACATTTGAAACTATGATTATGGATTCCTTGGAGTACAGATCGTGGAATAAAAGCACGCTTTACTGGCTGCTGTGGCCTAAGAGGACAGAGGGAGGGCCCTGCGGGGGCTGGAGAGGGAGGGACAGCGTCCAATCAAAGGTCCTTTGCGGAGAAGGATCATGGGAGGCAGGGGATTTGGGCATTTAGGACACGGCAGGATTTCTTGAAAGACTGCATTTGCAAACCAGAGCTGTGAGTCACATTTCTCTGAGCGTCCACGGCCCGTTACTGACTTTCACCGTCTCTGCTGACAACAGCCGGAGCCCGAAGACCTCCTCACACCTTGCCTGGGAATAAGGGCAGGCACGTTCTTTCAAAACAAGAAGTGACAGCTGTGAAGAATATGCCTCTGCCAAATTTTCCATGTTGGGAAGAAACATTAGCTCCTCAGGGTATGTGGGGTGTCTGGAGGAGGCTCTCTGCTCTGTGAGGTTGGTGCAGAGCCAGTGGGAGAGCCACAGGAGCAATGCTGTGTGGGTTATTGTCTGTTTGTGGACAGAGGACCATTCAGCTCCTTGATATATTCATAATGTCATCTTTACCATGACGCCCTCCTTTCTCTTTCATTTCATCTACAAAACAGCATTTAAAAGTCTCCTCTGGGCTGGGCACTGTGGCTCATACCTGTAATCCCAGAACTTCGGGAAGCTGAGGCGGGCGGATCACGAGGTCAGGAGATCAAGACCATCCTGCCCGATGTGATGAAACCCCATCTCTACTAAAAAACACACAAAAACTGAGCCAGGCATGGTGGCCGGTGCCTATAGTCCCAGGTACTCAGGAAGCTGAGGCAGAGGAATCACTTGAACCCGGGAGGTGGAGGTTGCAGTGAGCCGAGATTGCACCACTGCACTCTAGCCTGGGTGACAGAGCAATACTCTGTCTCAAAACAAAACAAAACAAACAAACAAAAACCCCAAAAATGTTTCCTCTGGATTTCTAAGGAATACTGAAGTTTATAGACTGGATATTTAGCATATTCCATTAACTCAAATATAAAAATTGAAAAAATAGCAAGCCTGCAAAACTAGTTTCTACTAGCACTTATACATTACAGGGATACCACAGAGATATTTCGGCCTTGGCTCCAGATCACCGCAGTAAAACAAATATTATAACAGATGAGTCACACACATTTTTTTGGTTTTCCAGTACATGCAAAAGTTGTGCTCACACTATAGTATATTAAGTAATAGCATTATGTCTAAAAAATGTACATTCCTTCACTAAAAATACTTTATTGCTGAAAAAGCTAATAATCATTTGAGCTTTCAGCAATTCTTTTTGCTGGTGGAGGTCCTTGCCTTGATGATGACTGCTGCCCGATCAGCATGGTGGGTACTGAGGGTTGGGGTGTCCGGGGCAATTTCTTAAAATAAAACACCAATGAAGTTTGCTGCATTGATTGACCCTTCCTTTCATGAAAAAGCTCTCTGTATCATGGGATGCTGTTTGATGGCATTTTACTCACAGTAGAACTCATTTCTTTTTCTCTTTTTTTTTTTGAGACGAAGTCTTGCTCTGTTGCCCAGGCTGGAGTGCAGTGGTGCAATCTTGGCTCACTGCAACTTTTGCCTCCCGGGTTCAAATGATCCTCCTGCCTCAGCCTCCTGAGTAGCTGGAACTACAGGCGTGTGCCACCACACCTGGCTAATATTTTTGTATTTTCAGTAGAGGTGGGGTTTCACCATGTTGGCCAGCCTGGTCTCAAACTCCTGACCTCAGGTGATCTGCCTGCCTTGGCCTCCCAAAGTGCTGGGATGACAGGCATGAGCCAGCCAAACTCATTTTAAAGTAGGAGTCAATCTTCTCAAACCTTGCTACTGCTTTTTCAACCACGTTTATGTAACATTCTAAGTCGTTTGTCATTTCAACAATGTTCACAGCTTCTGCAACAAGAGTAGATTCCATCTCAGGAAACCCCTTTTTTGCTCATTTATAAGAAGCAATTCCTATTCATTCAAGCTTGATCATGAGATTACAGCAATTCAGTTCCATCTTCAGGCTCCACTTCTGATTCTCTTGCTGGCACATCTGCATGACTTCCTTCACTGAAGTCTTGAACTCTTCAAAGTCATCTATGAGAGTTGGAACGAATTTTTTCTAAACTCCTGTTAATGTTGATGCCTTGATCTCCTTCCACAGGTCCTGAATGTTCTTAGTGGCATCAAGAATGCTGAATCCTTTCCAGAGGTTTTCTATTTACTTAGCCCAGATTCATCAGAGGAATCACTATCCATGGCAGCTAGAACCTTATGAAATGTATTTTTCTTTCATTCTTTTCTTTTTTTCTCCCCTCCCCCAGCCTGAAGTATATTTTTGAAATAGTTAAGGTTTGAAAGTCAGAACAACTCCTTGATCCGTGGGCTGCAGCATGGATATTTGTTAGCAGGCATGAAAACAACGCTCATCTCTGCATATCTCCCACAGAGCTCTTGGGTAACCTGGTATATTGTCAATGAGCAGTAATATTTTGAAAGGAATCTTTTTTTTTCCCAAGCAGTAGGTCTCGACAGTGGGCTTAAAATATACGGTAAACCATGCTGTAAACAGATGTGCCGTCATCGAGGCTTTGTTGTTGCATTTATAGAGCTCAGGCAGAGCAGATTTAGCATCAACCTTCAGAGTCCTGGGATTTTTGACATGGTTCATGAGCATTGGCTTTAACTGAAAGTTACCAGCTGTATTAGCTCTTAATAAGAGAGTCAGCCTGTCCTTTGATGCTTTGAAGCCAGGCATTCATTTCTCCTCTCTAGCTAGGAACGTCCTAGATGGCATCTTCTTCCAATAGAAGGCGGTTTCAACTACACTGAAAATGTGTTGTCTAGTGTAGCTGCCCTCCTCAATGACTTTAGCCACAGCTTCTGGATAACCTGCTGCAGCTTCCACATCAGCAAGTCGCTGCCTCACTTTCCACTTGCAGGTTTCGGAGCCGGCTTCTTTTCTTAAACCTTATGAACCAGGCTCTGCCAGCTTCCTGCCGCGTCCACACCTCTCTCAGCCCTCACCGAATTGAAGAGAGTTAGGGCCTTGCTCTGGAATGTGCGTTGGCTTCAGGAAGTGCTGTGGCTGGTGTGATCTTCTATCCAGATCGCTAACACTGTCTCCACATCAGCAATAAGGTAGTTTTGCTTTCTTATCATTTGTGTGTTCACTAGAGTAGAACTTTTCAATTTTCTTCAAGAGCTTTTCCTTTGAATTCACAGCTTGGCTAACTGGGGCAAGAGGCCTAGCTCTCAGCCTGTCTCAGCTTTGACAGGCCTTCCTCACTAAGCTTAATTTCTAGACGTATGACTCCTTCTTTCACTTGAACACATAGAGGCTGTTGTAGAGTTATTAATTATCGTGTCTCAAGGAATAGAGAGGCTGGAGGAGAGGGAGAGAGACGAGGTAATGGCTGGTCAGTAGAGCAGTTAGAACACACACAACATTCACCAAGTTCACAGTCTCATATCGACACCATTCATGGTGCCCACAAACACTTAACAATAGTAACAGCAAAGGCCACCGATCACAGATGACCATAGCGGATATAATAAATAATAAAAAGGTCAGGCCGGGCACGGTGGCTCACGCCTGTAATCCCAGCACTGTGGGAGGCTGAGGTGGGCAGATCATGAGGTCAGAAGGTCGAGACCATCGTGGCCAACGTGGTGAAACCGTGTCTCTACTAAAAATACAAAATTAGCTGGGTGTGGTGGTACATGCCTATAATCCCAGCTACTTGGGAGGTTGAGGCAAGAGAATAGCTTGAACCGGGGAAACATGTTGAAGTGAGCCAATATCGTACCACTGCACTCCAGCCTGGCAATAGAGCTAGACTGCGTCTCAAGGGAAGAAAAAGTTTGGAGTATGATCAAAGCGTGACACAGAGACAAGTGAGCAGAGACGAGAAGTGAGCAGATGCTGTTGGGAAAATGCTGTTAGACTTTCTAGACACAGGGTTGCCACAAACCTTCCATTCGTAAAAAAAATACAGTAACCGTGAAGTTCAATAAAGCAAAGCACCATAAAACAAGTAACTTTATACATACACCTCTATTTCCATGTTATATTCTGAATACAAGGCTGTTTATTGAGAATGTTGAACTACCAAAGTGGTATGTATAATCAACTATACAGAAATAGGAAACACTTCTTTGAATAAGCTACATACTTAAAATATGGTATGTTTAAGATATATTAATTAATTTAATACATTTGCTTGGATGCCTACCGGCTAAGGCACTGTGCTAGGAGCTAGGTGTGCAGTTGAGTAAGGCACAGCCCTGCTCTTGAGGAGCTTACAAACTAGCAGAATGTGTAAGACACGTGTACACGACGAGAGCTAGAAGTCATTTCTAATGTAAAGAGCAGCGAATGCTTTCTGCTTGGAGCGTGAGTTTAGTTGTCTTTGCAAAGGCTTCTTTCTTTTCGTAATATGCGGCCTCATTCACAAACACGGGGTGCACGGTACAGTCTCCGCCCAGTGGGATCGTCTTCCCATCAAGAGTTAAGAACACGGGATCCCCAGGGTGCAGTGGTTTCCAGTCTTGATCCTCTCACGAAACAATCAAAATAAATACATTAGATTTGGCTTTTCTCCTTTAAAAATCTATGTCAGACACTAGACAACTAACACATTATAGTATTCTACTCTTTTAAAAGAGACCCTTGAGAGAGACATCGAGATTCAGGCAAGTGATCTGACTACGCTGAAATTGGGGAATGAATTTTGGCAGTAGTTTCAAGAGTTCCTGCCAGGTGCGGTGGCTCATGCCTGTAATCCCAGCACTTCGGGAGGCTGGATCACGAGGTCAGGAGTTCAAGACCAGCCTGGACAAGATAGTGAAACCTTGTCTCTATTAAAAATACAAAATTAGCCGGGCATGGTGGCAGGTGCCTGTAATCCCAGCTACTCGGGAGACTGAGGACTAGAATTGCTTGAACTCAGGAGGCGAAGGTTGCAGTGAGCTGAGATTGTGCCGCTGCACTCTAGCCTGGGTGACAGAGGGAGACTCTGTCTCAAAAACAAAACAAAACAAAACAAAACAAAACAAAACAAAACAAAACAAAACAAAACAAGTTCCCCTTTAAATTTTCACAATTGGCATATGTAATTAACATTTGCTTCAGCCAGGTGCAGTGGCTCACGTCTGTAATCCCAGCACTTGGGGAGGCTGAGGTGGGTGAATTGCTTGAGCCCAGGAGTTCAAGAGCAGCCTGGGCCACATAGAGATCCTGTCTCTAAAAAAAATACAAAAGATTAGCTGGGTGTGGTGCTGCATGCCTGTAGTCCCAGACACTCAGGAGGCTGAGGTGGGAGGACTGCTTGAGCCCCCAGAGGTCGAGGCTGCAGTGAGCTGTGTTCACACCACTGCATTCCAGCCTGGGTGACAGAGTGAGACTCTGTCTCTAAAAAAATTAAAATTAGTTTGCTTCAATACCAGATTTACCTTGAATGTAGCCAAAGGGATTGACAATATTAAAAGGCAGAACTAAATGCACGTCTATGTAAGTACACATTCGACCTCTTGACAGCTCAAGTTAAAGTCTGTTCAGCAAACTTTGGGACACAGCCATTAAGAATCTTCTGTGTTCAGGACATTCTCCGCTGGGAAACATAAAAATAAGCCGTGCTGAACCTGCATGCAAGGAGGTTCTATTCTGATTGGCGGGAGAAGGTGGTGCTGGGCTGGGGGAAGTCTGAGACGGGTGGGCATATTCCAAATGTGCTCCTACGCTGGGGTAACGACTGAGTTACCTGAAGGGTCCCGTACCGGGAACTTGGACCTTTGAGACCTCAAGCACCAAGGCTGTCACACCACAGGAACCCCGGAACGGTCCTTCTCAAACTTTGATGTGCTTGTGAATCATCTGGGGATTTTGTTTGTTTTTTGAAATGGAACCTCACTCTGTCGCCCAGGCTGGAGTGCAGTGGTACAGTGTGATCTCGGCTCACTGCAGCCTCCACCTCCTGGGTTCAAGCCATCCTCCTGCCTCAGCCTCCTGAGTAGCTGGGACTACAGGCGCACACCACCACACCCAGCTAGTTTTTGTATTTGTAGTAGAAATGGGGTTTTACCATGTTTACCAGGCCGGTCTCAAATGCCTGATCTCAGGTGATCCACCCACCTCAGCCTCCCAAAATGCTGGGATTACAGGCATGAGCCACTGCACCCAGCCTAGGATTTTGCTAAGATGAAGATTCTGGTTCTATAGGTTGGGGGCGGGGGCCTGAGACTCTGCATTTCTGACATTTCCCAGTAGCATCCACATCACCTAGGAGCCTTTTAGAAAGGCAGGATTTCATTATGCACAGCAGACCTGCCACATCCAAATCTTCACATGAATGAGTCCCCAGACATTGACCTGCACAACATGAATGCTGAGAACTGCCACATCACAGAGACTTTTCCCATCCTGGTGGCACATCATAATCACTCAGGATGCCAGATCACATGTACAGGTAGAGGGGCTGGCCCATGGCAGATAAATCAAATCAGAGTCTCAGAGTAGGGCCCAGGCATCCTTATTTTTAAATTTTATTTTAAAATTTACATGCAGTTAAATTCACTCATTTTTCTGTACAGTTCTGTGAGTTTTGACACACAGAACCTACAACCATGCAATCGGGATACATACTTTCTTTTTTTTTTTTGAGATGGAGTCTCGCTCTGTGGCCCAGGCTGGAGCACAGTGGCACGATCTCGGCTCACTGCAACCTCTGCCTCCCAGGTTCAAGTGATTCTCCTGCCTCAGCCTCCGGAGTCGTTGGGATTACAGGCACCTGCCACCATGCCTGGCTAATTTTTTGTGTTTTTAGTAGAGATGTGGTTTCACCACGTTAGCAAGAATGATCTTGAGCTCCTGACCTCATGATCCACCCGCCTCGGCCTCCCAAAATGCTGGGATTACAGGCGTGAACCACCACACCCGGCCGGATACATACGTCTTTTACCCCCTCCTCGAATCTCTCATGCTACCCATTTACAGTGGACTGTTTTCTGTGTTTATTGTTTTTAAGTCCCAGATGATTTACGGGGTGGCTCGGCTGAGAACCACTTTTCTGAACCGGTGGTTTTCAGGCAGAGACTTGCCCCAGAATCACTAAAGGCATGTCTTCAGCACAGACATGACTAGCCCCACCTGCGGAGATTCTGATGTCGTGCTGTGTGCTACATGAAAACCACCTGGTGAATTCAACTGATTCCCTGTCTACACTCAGGAATTAAATCAGAACCTCTGGGAATGGGACTCAGGAATCAGCATTTTAAAAAAGCTCCGCAGGTCATTCTCATGTGGCTTGAGTTTGAGAAGCACTACTTGGCTACTCCAGGCTTTGGGAGGGGGTCCCCTACGTGGGGGTCCCCAAGGAGCATCCCTTACCAAGAATTATCGCTCTTAGGACAAAATCTAGACTCACAACCTGGTCCCGGACTGCGTGTTTTCCAGGCTCTGCCATCCTCCGCTCATCCTGCTCTCCATGGACACAGGTATTCTTGCTGTGCCTCAAGTGCTCCAAGTTTGTCCCAGCCTTGAGGCCTTTCACTTGCCTTCCGCACAGCTGGCTTCTCATCTTCTAGGTTCCAACCTCAGTGGCACCATCTCTGAGATGACACTTTGTGACCACTCCATTGAACTGGAACCCTTTGTTACCCTCTGCTGTATCAGTCTGCCTATTTCTTTTATAGCACTTATTATAGTTCGAAATGATTTGGTTTATGTATTGTTTATTTATTCATGGTGAGTTCTCCTCACCCATTAGCATGGATGCTCCATGAGGAAACTTCCCTATCTTTTTTTCCTGTTGCCCAGGCTGGAGTACAATGGTGCAATCTTGGCTCACTGCAACCTCCGCCTCCTGGGTTCAAGCGATTCTCCTGCCTCAGCCTCCTGAGTAGCTGGGATTACAGGTGCCTGCCACCACACCCAGCCAATTTTTTGTATCTTTGGTAGAGACGGGGTTTCACCATGTTGGCCAGGCTGGTCTCGAACTCCTGATCTCGTGATCTGCCCGCCTTGGCCTCCCAAAGTGCTGGGATTACAAGCGTGAGTCACTGCGCTCGGCCAACCTTCCCTATCTTGAATCTCAGGGCCCAGAACAAGTTTAGTTGTCATTGAAAAACATTTGTTGGAATACTTAACCAATCAATCCCTCCTGCAGATTACTGAGCCATTCCTTATTGTCTATGAAAACAAAGCTATCCTTCCTCACTTTCAAGACCTACCGCTAACCTGGTTCGCCACTGATCTCATTCATCTCACTTCCCAGCCTCCCCAGGATTATTTCTGTACTTCTCAAGAGTATCCTAAAACTTGAAGAATCCCATTTTAGCCTGTCATGACATCAGCACCTTGGCCTCTGTTTCTTGTACTTGGTATTTTTGTCACCAGTGGTGATTTCTTCCTTTCTCTCCCCCAGTCTTTCCCTTTCCTTTAAAACACTGCCTAAGGCTTCTTCTTCTTCCTTTTTTTTTTTTTGAAATGGAGTCTCACTTTGTCACCCAGGCTGGAGTGCAATGGCACAATCTCGGTTCACTGCAACCTCCGCCTCCCAGGTTCAGTCGATTCTCCTTCCTCAGCCTCCTGAGTAGCTGGGATTACAGGTGCTCACCACCGCACCTGCTGAATTTTTGTATTTTTAGTACAGATGGGGTTTCACCATGTTGGTCAGGCTGATCTCGAACTCCTGACCTCATGATCTGTCCGCCTCGGCCTCCCAAAGTGCTGGGATTACAGGTGTAATCTCTACTAAAAATACAAAATTAGCTCGGCATGGTGGCACATGCCTGTAATCCCAGCTACTAGAGAGGCTGAGGCAGGAGAATTGCTTGAATCCAGGAGGTGGAGGTTGCAGTGAGCCGAGATTGTGTCATTGCATCCCAGCCTGGAAAACAAGAATGAAATTCTGTCTCCAAAAAAAAAAAAAGTATTTATTGAGTGACTGTCTGAGCATCTTCCCTACCCTCAGTGTCTTTGAAAGCATCAAATGAGTGAATGTACATCAACTGCTGTATGAACTGTAAACTTCTACTCAAAGATACAGCATTATGATTTTCAACATTTTAAAGAAAGAATAAATGTTACCTGCAGATTAGGATGGATGATAGCAGCAATTTCTCCGTTTTCATTCCTGGGGTAATCCACTTTCTCCATAATTTTATAGACCTCAATGGTACAGGAAGGAAATTCTTTTCCTATGACAAAAACAATATGTATAAATGCCAAGTAAAAAAATCTCTAGTCCGGGGCACAGTGGCTCACCCCTGTCATCCAAGCACTTTGGGAGGCCAAGGCTGGTGGGTCCCTGAGGTCAGGAGTTTGAGACCAGCCTGGCCAACTTGGTGAAACCCCATCTCTACTAAAAATACACAGCCGTGGTGATGGGCGCCTGTAATCTCAGCTACTTAGGAGGCTGAGGCAGAAGAATCTCTTGAACCTGGGAGGTGGAGGTTGCAGTGAGCCGAGATCGTGCCACTGCACTCCAGCCTGGGCAACAAGAGTGAAACTCTATTTCAAAAAAAAAGGAAAATCTCTGGAAAAAGGGAAGTTGATAATGTAAGGAAGAAACAGTAACAACAGTGGTAACAAAATGAAGACAGCGATGGTGAGAACAGATCACGTTTGGTTAAGGATGTTCACAGACAACACTCAGCAAAAGATGTTCTTCAGTGATTCCTGTCGGCTCTCTGTCCACAAACACACTGACGGACAGAGGTAGAAAACAGAACTTAAAAAGCCAGTTTGGGAGAAAAGGGATCTAGGACTGGGAGTCAGGAGACCTGGGCTCTAATCTCCTGGCTCTGTAGTCTTGAACAAGATGCTTAGCTTCTTGAGGCTCACTTTCTTTTCTTTTTTTTTTTTTAGAGACGGGGTTTCACCATATTGGCCAAGCTGGTCTCGAACTCCTGACCTCATGATCCGCCCACCTGGGCCTCCCAAAATGCTGGGATTACAGGTGTGAGCCACTGCACCTGGCCGAGGCTCACTTTCTTTACCTGTCAAATGAAGGTATTGGATTAGCTTATCTTGGAGGGCCCTTTTGGCCACGATATTTTATGACTGCATACATTCAGGAGGAGTTCCAGCTGTGCTTTTTTTTTTCTTTTTGAGACAGTCTTACACTCTTGCTCAGGCTACAGTGCAGTGGCGTGATCTAGGCTCACTGCAACCTCTGCCTCCCGGGTTCACGCAATTCTCCTGTCTCAGCCTCTCAAGTAGCTGGGACTACAGGTACATGCTACCACATCCAGCTAATTTTTCTATTTTTAGTAGAGACAGGGTTTCACCATGTTGGACAAGATGGTCTTGATCTCTTGACCTTGCGATCCGCCTGCCTCAGCCTCCTCAAGTGCTGGGATTACAGGCGTGAGCCACCGTGCCTGGCCTCTTTTTCTTAAATAAGTACATTAAACACTGGGACAGCTCCCAAGCAATGAAATCTTGGGATGCAGGCAGCCTGCCAGTGGTGGAGACCAACTTCCAAAGATGCAGCAACACCAAACAATTCAATTCCCAGAAACTTGGAAAACGAGTAGTTTTCATATATACCAGGCTATCTCTGAGCAAACAGGATGAACTTTTGGTCTAATATAGGGCCCACAGCGTGTTATGGTCACAACTGAAAGGAAAGGCTTCCTTTGCCGTTAGAGCAGAGTTAGAATGCGGATAGCCAGTGATCACTTCTCTATCAGTTAGCTTTTGCTGCATAACATACTATCCCAGATTTGGCAGCTTGAAACAATCGCCTCTTAATTTAGTTCATGATTCTATGGGTTGGTTGGGAAGTTCCTTTGGTCTACACTGGCTTTGTTGATTTCTGATTGTTTCGTTCATGCCTTTGTGGTGAGCTGACAGCTCACTGGGAAGCTGGACCATATGGAATGACCTGACTCTTACGTCTGATGGGCTGTCAGTGGGAGTTGCATGACTGTCTGTGAGGGTGCCTGAGTTTTCCACCTCATCGGCTTCCATCATCCAGCAGGCCAGTGTGGACTGGTGCACATAAAGGTACATGTACACGGCTTCCAAGGGCAGGAAGAGAGCAAGCTGCAACGTGCAAGCGCTTTTCAAGCCTTTTCCGTGGCACAAAACAAGTCACGTGGCCGAGCCAGATAGTCAAGGAGTGGGAAAATAGACTCTATCTCTGAACAGAAGGATATGAAGCCTCACACTGCCAGGATGTGGACGCCGGAAAGGGAAGAATTAAAACCTACCACGCCAAGATGAAGATGGGAACTTAACCAGATCGCATGTCTTTAAACCAGAAAGTTTGATAGGAAGAAAGTAAAAACTGATGGAACACAGAGAAGTATGTTTTTGCTACTTAGAGTTGGAAGGAGGCTTGAGAGCCTAACTTCCATCTATGTTTGAGTATTGTCCATACTGTCCCGGCCACGTAGTCATCTTACTGCTGCATGAACAGCTTCACAAAGTGTGGTCTGTTTCACAGCTGCTCAGCTTTGTTAATAAGAAACTTCTGTCTTGCCAGGCGCAGTGGTGCAGGCCTGTGACCCCAGTGCTTCGGGAAGCCGAGGCTGGCAGATTGCTTCAGCTCAGGGGTTTGAGATCAGCCTGGGCAACATCATGAAACCTCATCTCTACAAAAATCACAAAAATTAGCCGGAGTGGTGGCGCTCGCATGTAGTCCCAGCAACTCAGGAGGCTGGGTGGGAGGACTGCTTGAGCCCATGGGGTTGAGGCTCCAGTGGGCCATGATTGTACCACTGCCCTCCAGCCTGGGCCAGAGAGTGAGACCCTGTCTCAAAAAATAAAAAGAAGAAAAGAGAAAAATTTCTGCCTCTAGTTAACTTTATCTCATTGATTCTCTTCTGCCCTCTGAGTCACAGAAAATATGTCTAATTTCTTTCTAATGTAGACTTTTCTTTCTTTCTTTTCTTTTCTTTTTTTTTTTTGAGATCATCTCACTCTGTCACCCAGGCTGGAGTGCAGTGGCAAGATCTTGGCTCACTGCAACCTCCGCCTCCTGGGTTCAAGTGATTCTCCTGCCTCAGCTTCCAGAGTAGCTGGAATTACAGGCGTGCACCACCACACCCAGCTAATTTTTGCATTTTTAGTAGAGACGAGGTTTCCCCATGTTGCTCAGGCTGGTCTTGAACTCCTGACCTCAAGTGATCTACCTGCCTTGGCCTCCCAAAGTGCAGGGATTGCAGGCATGAGCCAGGAATTACTCTCATTATGGTTTTCAAGCTCTTCGACATTCTCAATGTCTCCTTGGCTAAATTCCTCTTTATAGACGTTTCTCCTGGATTATTTATTTACAGTTCTCCAGTGTTGTTTATTCAAGGCAGAAAAAAGATCATTACCTCCCTTATTCTGGGATTTTTTTTTTTTAAACATAAGAGCAAAACTTTGTCCTTGATGTTGTTAACCTTTAATGTTTGGGTTAAAAAACTGTTAAAGATTGCCAGGACTTCTTGGATCTGCCTTCTAAACCAGGGTGTTTCCCTGCTACCTTCCTGTGACCTGTCATTCAGGTCACCAACTATAATTCTGAGTAGTACAGAGTCAAGGATGAAGCCCTTCTACATACGTCTTGAAACTTTTCACTAGTTGAGTCTGATTCATTTGTCAGCATTCTTTGGATACGGGTGCTCAGTTGAAAATCCAGCAAGCCGGAGAGTCTAAATGAATTGTGGTTGACAATTTTTTAATTGTAGAATCCTTTGTTTAAATGAAATGTTACACAGAAGAGCTACGACATACAGAACAACTCTGGTTGAGGCAGAGATAAGGAGTGAGGTATTCCAGGAACTGGTTTTCTCCACCCTGTGAGAGGATTCTATGGCCCATAATCTGAAAATCATGTTTTCCACCCAGATTTGTGGCCTTCTATCTGAATGTATCACTTCTTTTTTTTTTTTTTT